TTTCAGGTGCTGACTGCGGAGAGAACGATGGGACGATTTGCAGTGTCGTCTCGTCGAAACTTACCAGCGATTCAAAAGTGCTTACTGCTTCCATCATCAGTATAAACCGCATCCTAGGTGACTTGCAGTCTACTGTTGTAACAATGTAATGGATGTGATAGACAGAAAACGCGTTCTTCGCTTATGACATACGAACAACCTGACAGCGAAAGATTTTTAGTTGTTCCAGTCTACACTGTATTAATTCGACACTTAAATAAAAACGTTAACACGAAAAAGGAGTGCATTAGGTCATGTTTGTTTGAATTAACTTTGTTAACTCATCGGCTATTATGAAAATACACATACGTGGACCTACTTGAATAATTATCCACGGGGGACCATAAACAAACGTTTACACATTACGTACACATGAATGTAAGGTCCGCCCTCTGAAGCTTCAATAATTCAGCACACAACATCACACCGACGTTCACACTAAACGAAAGCCGCTGTATGAAACCATTTGCTGGCACAAAGGTAACAGCGAGCAAAAAAGTGGCATCTACAGAGCGAAGCAAGTTACTTTCACAACGTTAGGTTTCAGCGCCAGGGCAAAATATTCACTAAGCATTTCGTCTATAATCTTAACGCTAAAACCCTGCATTTAAACATTCCAAGTTTATTATTAAATATTTTGTTCGGTGTCAATTTCTGTGCTTTTGATCAGTAGAACTCTGACTCTTGGAGCTTGAAGTAAACTTGGTTTCTCTTCTGTACACTAAAATTAGAATAAAGTACTAAAATATTAAAAGTGGTACAACTATTTTTAGGAATCTTACCTCGCTTGGTCCGGCTAATACTCGGTTTTTATGCCAATTTTTATGGGTATTACTTGTAATAATTCTTTTCTTCAATGCAAACATTTTTCCAACCAAGGTCACTACGCTCAACGTAACTTGCGAAGGCCTTACCGTCACAGAACCTTATGTACATACCTCGATATTTAATGTTCATGGCAGAAATACGTACGAATTCATTTCAGGCGGGGTAAGAAACCTTCATAGCCATTGTTTTTAACAACACCATCAACAATAATTGCTACTAACATTATTAGTAATTTCTGTTCCCCAGTTATGCTTCAACTAATTACTAATTTTTTAATTACACATTTGATAAACTAGCTACGGGCTGGACGGCCGGGGTTCGATCCCCGACGGGGGCAGAGGATTTTTCCTCTAGCCTCTGCGTCCAGACCGGCTCTGGGGCCCACCCAGCCTCCTCTACAATGGGTACCGGGGTCCTTTCCCGGGGGTAAAGCCGGCCGGGGCGTGATGCTGACCACTCACCCCCATCTAGTGCCGAAGTCAAGGAAGAGAGGAGCTATACCTCCACTCACCCCAAACGCCTACATGGCGTATAGTGGGACAAACTTTACTTACACATTTGATAAACAATTATTTGATTCTTTTAATGTTCTATCCAAACCTCGCGGCACACCGGTTGAAAACCACTTCTTCGGTACTCATAAACTCTTATTAGTGCGAGGAGCGATGTATATAATGCAGTATTTTAACGACGAAGTATTTTTCAACCACCAGAGATCATACAGAGTCCAGTGGAAGGGTGACTATCTATTGTAAACTGCAAATAATTAAAAGAATGTGATCGTGGGTTACTTTAAGACGATACACCGATAATAGCTTGTAGGGTTTTGAAAGAGACCAAACGCGACATGTCAGGACACGAGGCTTCTGGGCCGACAATAGACTCCCTGCTTCGAAATATGAGCGAGACTGCTAACTGTCCACCCGCCATGTTCGGTGCAAGGATTTAAATAAAATTAAACTCCGTCTCCTCACAGACAACAATAAAGGAAACTGTGAGAGGCTTCTGTGGTCAAAATTAAATCTAATGGGCATGAACTCCAGCTCAAAATTGCCAGAAGACATAAAAGCGACGTCTGAATTTCTAGCTGAATTCCAGCTTATTCGTGTAAACAATTCATTTTACACTGCCTATTCTAAATGGTTATTTGGACTTCAAGTAACAACATAACAAAACCGTCATTAATTGCCTTCCTTGCAGTATTCGTTTATTTGCTTGTGGTTTATTTAAAGACGTCTGTAGCTCAGATTACATGGCATCGGATGTTAGAATGATTAATGAATAGTACATTAAAAATTATACAGAAGGAAGCGATTGTAGTGTAACATATTTCAACCCTGTATTTGCCTGGAGGTATTGAAGGAAATCACAAGAAACCTCACACAGGATAGCCGATTTTCGAACCAAGATCTGATCCCAGGACGAATCAAGATTACTAATAACCTGACTGAAATGTTAGGTTGTTGTGAGCTTTAGTCCTTCACAATCGGTTATGTTTACTTTCATGTATAAATTTCACCTAGTTACGGCATTTTTTCAAAATCATCGTTAAATCTTGCAGCCAAATTTCGTTTAAACAATAGGTAATAATTAAGTCCGGACCGCAAAGAAAACACAACACTTCTACTTTACAAAGATCACTTGGTTGATGCGGTTTAAGGAAATAATTACTGTTTATACTCAGAATTATACAAACCCAGTTACTGGTTTTTAAAACAGCTTGTACAATTTACCATCGGGCTTTAAAGGGTTCAGTAGGACTAATCTCACACAAAATTGTCATGCAACGTAATTTCCTTTTTTTACACTTCAGCCTATTAATCGGAATAATGTCAACAAATTAATGTATTCATCGATCAAAAATCGTTAATATTAGTATAGTATTCCAGCAGCCCGGAGCATTTGAACAGCAAATGCGCGCCTTTGCCCCACCGGACTCTGAGCTCGCGAAGTAACGCGGTCGATGGAAGTGACTCACTCTCAACGGACTGCACTTACGTTTCTGGCGTTAAGGAAAAACATGGATTGAGGACAGAATGCTTAGGGGAACACTGGATTAAAGACAGATTATGTGACAGAGAGCATGATATAAATTTAACGAGTAGCTCCATATTTGTCCTACTCATAACCGAACCTTATTAGAGTGATCATATCAAGAGTAATGAGACAGGAGACATGTTAAGCGCGTGGAGGAGACGATAAATGCATAGACTATTTTGACTGCAAAGCCATTCAAAGACTTCGGCGCAGATAGCAAGGTAACACTGAAATCGTTCTTAGTAAAACAGAGTTGGACGTTTGGTTTGGATTCTTCTAGCTCAAGACAGTGACCCTTGGCTTTAAATGACAGGTAGGGAAATTCTTGACCAACCGAATTTACAATTAAATTGATATACGATTTGAGACTTTCGCGGCGAGTACAATCAATAAAATATTCTCGGGCAATCAGCCGCGTTAACTGGTTACCGTAGTAAACCGGCGTTTCGGGAACCAACTCTGTCCTCATTATCAGGGTTCTGATGTGACTGAGTTGGTTCCCGAAACGTCGGTTTACCACGGTAACCAGTTAACGCGGCTGATTGCCCGAGAAGATTTTATTTACTATTAAATTCTCAGGAAGAACTGTACTCTGTTGAATGTATTTAGCTTTATTTATCACGTAAACCTGTAATATTTTGCAAAGTTCCTCCAAACAAATTTCAGCATGTACTGCAAAATATACCACGACAGTTTCTGCCAGAATTCCTTCCACGACATTCAACTTAACCATTTTCTGATCTCAATCGATGATAGATAACATCGAAGTTAATGTATGACCGCTCAGTCAACTACAAACTAATAAAAAAAATTCGTGGGAAAAACTATGTGAAACTTTCACACAAAGAGATGCCCGGACTTCTTTAGACGAAGGCGTAACTTTTAGCTGGAGAGAGAGACAGTTCACCACAACATGGAATGGCTATGTACACATCTGACGTGTCTTGTACATAACCGACCTTTTGTGATCACCTGTTGTTTGCAATAACGTGTCTTACCCGCACGTCATACGGAATTTAACCGAAGATTTCGCCAATTTCGCCATTATTTCAATATATATGCATATCCCTCTTTTAAACCAATTAAAAAACAATTAATTTCCATTTATAAAGCTATTTCATTCAAGAGCTGTTCTAAAACGCATAATGGAACAGGCTCTGTAAATGAAGTTTGCTAATGTAAAACACGTTGCGATATGTGGGCAATTAATATTGTCATTGAAAGGTTTATGTCTGCCTCGATTAATTTACCCACACTTCATTTAACCGCGCTGTGCGAATGATCAAAATAGATAAATGTTTTTCAATTACGCGTATGCTTAAAAGTTAACACAGGTCTTAAATTCGTCGAAGGAGTAATGTGAATTAATCATGACTATGTGAAAGGCTTACGGGATTATACACCTGAGACCATTAAAATGGACTCTGTTTTAGACATTACTGTACAGTTTAGCCGATTTCAGCAATACTTCTAACTGCACGTAATGTCCTTTTTATGTTCGGGCACAAATGCTGCTTTCAAAATAGAAATACCCTTCCTAGGTCAATTTGTGTATGAAAAACATGTCACTCATAACTAAGAAAATTTAATTTTCCTTGCTGACGTGACATATCACAAACAGGAGTAGTTTCCAACCTCGCAACGGGGTATCCAGCAACTGTTCCTGAACAAAACCAAATTAGATTATTATTCTCGTTCCTTACACCAATCCAGCATACGTCACTCAAGGAGTGTTAAACTTTTATGTGTACGCCTCAGGATTCTAACTTCATACTAAGTAGTTCCGAGAAAATGGACTGTTGAGTCTGTACGTCGTTATGCACTAGGCAGTTAAAAATTAGTGACCGCTTCTTTCTTGGTCCAAGGACGTTATTTATAAAAACAATGTGGAACCAATTAGCGTAATAACTACATCCTGTCGTAGCACTTTTGTTAGTGCGTCAAATTGTTATTACAAACACACGTAAACATATTACATGATAACTGCACGATACTTTTCTGAACACAAGAACTGCATCTCGTATAGATGGCATCAAAGACATATTTATTACTACACTAATTCTGAGAGGTCTCTGATAGGTGGCTTCTTTACTTACCAAAAACACGACCGCCAAAAACATTCACGATCCCTAGGATGAAACAGAAGGCTACAAAGCCTATATGCATGATGATATACGAATTTTCATTCCACAGAAAGTCTCAGTCTCTTTAGTGTGGGCGAAGGTTCCTTGTTCGACATCTCTTCCAATAATTTACATTTATAACACTAATAAGTCACTCGGTGTACATGGCGTGTAACACACGGAACGAAGCGCGAAATTGTATTCCAAGCCCCGGGAGTCAGAGACAAAGCAGTAAATTGTCAACCGAAGAACCAATGTTATTTCAACTTCTTTCGCACATGTTCGCGCGCCGACTGCCAACCAGCGCCTACAAGGCGCGATAACGGACTGAGGCTAGCGCCTGCAGAGTCCTCGAGCGGAGAACACACCAAACGACCTGAAGCGTGCGCATACCCCTTTAATGCCTGACAGTCGTCAAGCTTTCCAAATTTTATTTATATAAAGTACACGCTTCTTGCCCCTGAAACCTCAACACTGACCACACCTTCATACACTAAAGCGTCGAATGATTTACCTTTGACGATAACTTCGTTCAAAGGAGCTAGCTTTAAGAGTAGACTGACAAATTGCAAACTGCTTTCCAAGAACACGTGACTTTTAACATAAGCAGCGTAGCCACACAACACGAACTAGTAACACTACGTTAGTTTTACCGCTCACTTCTACATTAAAGGTGGCTATTTCAGAGACCAAGGAAAGCTCTTTCATCGCACGAGTCTCAAAGGCTCAAAACTCACTGGACAACCATTATAAAACCAGACCATGATTTCTAATATCAGTATGTTTCTGGAAGTTAATATTTCTTTACCAGGTGTGAGCTTACGCTCATGTTAAACCGAATGGCAACAGCGCTTCGGACGTGCACTGATTTTCCAGGCGAATGCCGGGACAGTGCCTTCAAACAGATTACGGGGACATCTCTCAGAATCCCTGCATACTGACCTATTCATTTAAGCTTTCTCGTCTCAGCGAACGACATATTCTAGCGACACACATAGAACGGTAGTCACCGTCACGTGATTTCATTATTATCAACTTCACACTGCTTCCCATTCTGCAGGCAGAAACCTTCGACCGATTCCTCAATTCACTTTAATATTATACCTGTTATACATACAGTTTATAGGGCTCAAACCGAACGACATGACCGAGACTTTTGGGACTCCTATTTCGTATTCGGGAGGTCCCAGATTCCATTCTCGGTTCTGATACCGGCTATGCTGACCGGGGTTTTTCATGCATTTCCTCAGTCCCTCCAGTCGAATGTCGGTAGAGTGTCTTAAATTAGGTCACGACCGCTTCCAATAATACTCGTTCCTGTTCATTATTTTTTGACTCCATATAGCATGGGCAACTGTTGTTATACGCGTTTCTTAATATCCGCGGTTTTATTTAATTATTATTAGGCGTATTATTACCTCATCTCTGGTTAAATTTCAAACATTTCGGCTATAACGACAGCTACCTGTAATCTGAGTAACTAAAAGTGTCATTAAATAAACTATAAATAAATACAGGAATCAAACACCACAGTCATGTACATCCGATCGCTGTGATATTAAAACGACGCCCCAGTGAATGCTTACAGCAACAATAAACAACATTGGGGCGACCAATAGCTGATAAACACAACAAACCAATCCTCTGTCACTCCAGGCAAACGTTAGTTGAAACAGGCCTTGACTATCGCCCAGCTAATCACCACAATTCATAAATCATCACCAATGCAATTAGGAGTGTTCGGGGACAAAAAATTGAAAATCAATTGTTCCGGTATGATGTTTGCGCCGGGCAAGATTAACTACAAATTGGTGAAACAACTTACCGGGATACTGCTTTAACGTCGCACGCCGAAATGCAATGTTTATGAACTGCGAAAGATGACAAAACACGCCAGCTTTGGGGATTAAATTGCCATGTGAAAAACAATCCGAATCCGGTACACAAAATATTTCAGTTTTTCAGGGCGGTCAATGTGTCGATGTTGTGTGGGCTTCTGGGGGGGGGGGGGAGAAATGTCTGTATATTTAGCCCTGAACACGCAGACACTTTACAACCAAACAGGCACCGTCAGCGCCGTTACTCTCGTCGTGAGCGTAAGCCTTAACTACTTGGCTAACAACGCGTCTGAAGTCGCAACTATAGAAATTGAACGTGACACTGAAAGACTAATGAAGCAAAAGCAATATTAATTAACTCAGTAATTACTGATTTTGTTAAAGTAACTTACTGCTATAGTAGGCCTAATTTATTACTCATTTTAATACATTTCTATTGAGTACCGATAATGTAACCTCGTTTGTAACCTTGAGGCCCGGGAATCACCAAGAATGGGTGAATGTGCCCCCCCCCCCATCTGGAAAATGTTCATAACCCCTGATCAAAGACAAAACTTGAAAGAATATGTCACGAAAATAATATATTATGTTTATTTCATGTAATACTAGAAGATGGATACTTAAATTTAATTTAAACTACTTCAGCGAAAACCGAAGTACAACATTTGCCTATGTTTTTTTTCACTTATGTTATTGTTGTTCATCTTCAGAACCCAAGACAATAGTTCCAGACTATCCACATCCCACGAGCAATACAGCTGTCATAAGTGCTGAGACGTTAGTATAAGTTTCAAGTTTAGTGACGTCACTTAAAAAAAACAAGAACAGTAATGCGTTTTTCTGCTGAGAAACAGATAAAAGAGACGAAATGGGAGTTGAAATGGGTTTTGCATTGTCTGTGGGTGAGAGTTTTGGAAATAATGGGACTTTTCGGGAACCCCTCCGAACGATATTTAACTTACCAGCGTTGACGGGTGATTGTTCGTGATGGTAGTGGTCACGGCAGGAGGAGACGATGAGAATGTGACCGTATATCACGAGGCTAGGACCAGTAACAATCGATTTTCACTTATTTCTCTCCACTATACACTCTCCTCGCTCTGGTATCCCGTTTCGCGTGAAATGTTTGACGTTTCAGCTGTTTGGCAGAAATGTAATGCAGACAAACCTCTTCTCGTGTACTCCAGATGGGAATTCACAAGTGGTAGGTCTATTCTAATATAAAAAAAAACAAATGATCAACATACATTTATGTACAAGTATTTTTAAATGAGTTTTAAAGGTAGAAATGAATCCGTGATATCACAGTATCACTATAACGAAAATCGAGGTAATAAATGTGCAGGGCATTACGAGTTTCAACTGTCTGGATTTAATCACAATCAAACAGAATTTCTGTTGCTCTAATCTACGAACATCAGCACAGCACTCCTGTAGGCTGTAGGTAAAAACAATGTCCGCCTAAAACTTGTGGCACTGGTGATGATGGTCCTAAACATATTTTATGCATGCATTTCTAAAAATAGGGAAAAAATTAGACTTGTCAAAAAAAATCACAGGTAAGAGAGAAAAGTGTGGGGAAAAGTTAAATAGAATGTTATGGGATAATGGGAACACAATGATTTGAAAGGATCTGCGAGGAGGTGGTCGCCTATTTGAACACGATAATCCGCCATTCGCCTAGAGTGACAGTTAAATCCGATACAATTCTGTCAAGGTAATCGATAATATATTCGATTTTATAATAGGGAATGATACAAAAGGACATGGATGTGCTCATTACCACGATTTCTGAACAGCCAATAAGACAGGAACTCTAAATCTTCCCCTCTTAACCGGGTTTCTTGAAAATACAGATGTAAATTATTGTCTGTCGCTGTAGCTGAGTTGCTTAGTAATGTGGCTTTTACTTAGATGATGGCAAATTGGAATCGCTGATGGACCACTCCAAATCATAATTCAGAAATTAATTTAATTTTAGCCCTTTTCATAGTGAGTTTTATTTTACAACAATTCCTTATTTTTATCCTCGGCTACTAAGACATAACAAATGCTTGACCCAACGTGACATATCACTTTAGAGACTCGTAAAGTTTTTAAAATATTAAATTATTATGAACGAAGCCCTGGTAAATAAAAGCGAAAAATGTTACCACTTCTTTAGGAAGCTTGTGTATTTTATATATTGCTAGTTGTGAACTAGATTAATATTAACATCGCTTTCGAAATTAAATTAC